TACTTTACTTTACTTTACTTTACTTTACTTTACTTTACTTTACTTTATTTTACTTTTTTACTCTACTCTACTCTACTCTACTCTACTCCTTCACTTCAATTCACTATTTTATTATTTTATTTTATTACTTATTTTATTTCATTAAATGGTTCATTAATGGTTAAATGGATAACCCTTTGTCTGACGTGGTGTAGTAGGGTTTCCTGCCTAGGCAGGGGGTTAGACTAGAAGACCTCCAAGGTCCCTTACAACTCTGGTATTCTATTCATTATTTTATTGTGTTTATTTTATTTATTATTATTATGATTAATTTATTTTACTATTTTTCATTATTTTATTTTTATTTTACTTTTTACTTTACTTTTTTATTTTATTTTTTAAACCTTAAAATGCTGCCCGTCTCGCCGAGTCAACCATTTGCTGGTTTGGAGTCAGATTCTGCACCACTGCCCCGAAATGCAGCTTCTGACAAAAGTGGATTTGAAAGTCTATGATCTCCAATCCCACCTGAGTGTGTTTTTTTAGCAGGCTCTGAAGGGGTCGGACTTCAGCTGTTTTCCTTTTTGTTCTTGTTGCTTTTTGCTACTGCAGGAGACGGACTACATCATGTCCTATTTCGACAACGGGGAAGACTTTGGGGGCGACAGCGATGATAATATGGATGAAGCCATCTACTGAGGCCGTCGGTGGGCGCTGGCTGAGTGGCGTGGCCTATTTTTCTAGGCCTGCATTGGCGACGTTTCTGGCGATCCCACCCTTCAGGGCTCTCGAAAGGGGTCTCCAAATGTCCCACTCCAGCCTCTAGGTAAGGGGTCTGCAACCTTTTGGCAACTTTAAGACTGGTGGACTTCAACTTCCAGAATGCACCTCTTCAAGTCACCAAGGTGAAACTCAAAGAAAGAGAATTCCTAATTTTGTAGACAGAGTTTGGAGTGATTCTTCTGGTTTTAATTGATGGTGGGAACAAAAAAAAATTCATATATTTGTGCTGTAAACTTAATATATTTTTCTGCATCCTGAAGTTCATCCCCTGCCAAACTGAGGCCTTTTTTTGGGTGGGGTGTGTGTGTCACGTCTCTTCTTTTAAACGTGTATGCAACATTTTGGATTGCAAATTAAATTTCTGTTTTGATGTTTTTCCAGCTTCCCCTTGGGCTTAAGGCCTTGGGAATTAGGGGGAGGCAGGGCTGATGCCGGTGTCAATCTCCTTTGACTTAAAAAGGAAATAAAGAAGTGGGGTATTTTTGCAAGGGGGCCTCTGGGGGCCACACTTGATTGGGAAATAAAAGGATAAGCGGAGTTTTCCATCTCTTGTAGCTCAAAATTGCCCACCTGCTCAGGTGGAGGTGCCAAGTGGAAGTTGGGATGTGTGCAAGACCCTGGATGGGGGACATACCACCCCAGTTTTTCCAGTCCAAGGTCTTCGTGGCCCTTTGCTTCCTGAAGGGGACATAGAAGAAGAATAGAATAGAGCCGAAAGGGACTTTAGAGGTCATCTTGTCCAACCCCCTGCTCAAGCTGCTTCCCACATGATGAGTAGGAGTTTCTGGGCAGGTGTGAAATTTGGCTGGGCCAAAAGCTTGCAACGTTTTGGGCCTAATATGGGTAGTCCTCGGCTTATGACCACAATTGGGACCAGAAAAGACTTTTAAGCAGTGTGGTCATTCAGTGAGGCACCACGTGGCCGTGGCTGATCCTTTTTTTTTTTTTGCCATGGATGTTGCCCAAATCACTCATGCTCATGAACAAGATACAGGTAGAGACTTTCAACTGTTTTGTTCAGTGACCATTTGAAGTTTATGACAGCACTGAAAAAAAAGTGAATTGTGAGCATTTTTTTACACATGACCATTGCAGCATCCCCAGTGGCCACATGTGATCAAAATTCAGATGCTTGGTGACTGGTTCTTATTTATGACAGTTGTAGTGTCCCAGGCTCATTAACAGATTAACAGAGTTGGAAGGGACCTTTTAGGTCATCTAGTCCAACTCCCACCCCACCCAAGCAGGAGACCCTACACCATTTCTGACAGATGGCAGTCCAGCCTCTTCTTGGAAGCCTCCAGGGATGAAGCTCCCACAACTTCCGAAGGCAACTTCTGTTCTATGGGTTGATTGTTCTCCCTGTCAGGAAATTCCTCCTTATTTCCAGGTTGAATCTCTCCTTGTTCAGTTTCCACCCATTATTCCTTGTCTGGCCTTCAGGTGCCTTGGAGAATAGCTTGACCCCTTCCTCCTCTCTGGGGCAGCCCCTCAAATATTGGAAGGTTGCTCTCCTGTATCCCCTGGTCCTTCTCTTCCCTAGACTAGCCAGGCCCAGTTCCTGCAATTGTTCATCGTATGTTTGAACCTCCAGTCCCCTCATCATCCTGGTTGCTCTTCTCTGCACTCTTTCTGGAGTCTCAACGTCTTTTTTTAATGCCCAAAATTGGATGCAGGATTCCAGGTTTTGCGAACCTTCTGGCCAGCAGAGTCCATGGGGGAGCCAGATTCACTTACGGATCGTGTTACTAAACTTCACAATTGCAAGCAATTCCCTTAACCAACGGTGGCAAGAAAGGTCGTAAAATGGGCAAAACTCACTTAACAACCGCCTTGCTTAGCGATGGACATTTGGGGCTCAGTCGTGGCTGTACCGTAAGTCAAGAGAACCGCCTGTTATCACAGGGCTGTGACTTTCAACTTCCCGATGGCTTCTCTTCGGTTTTATATCGATAGATATATTATATACCGCCCAGAGTTCCTCTTTTGAGAGAAATGAAATGGGAAATCAAATCAATTACATAAAATACATAAATATGTACAGAATCCTCAACTTACAACCAACATTGAGCACAACATTTCCGTTGCTAAGCAGGGCAGTTGTTAAATTACTTTTGTCCCATTTTAGAACTTTTCTTGCCCCGGTTGGTAAGTAAATCTCTGCAGTTAATAAGTTTAGTGAAGCCGGTTGTAAAGTGAATCTGGCTTCCACATGGACTTCGCTTGTCAAAAGGTCGCAAAAGGGGATCACATAATTCCAGGAGGCTGCAGCTGTCATAAACACGTGTCAAACCAATTTTGATCACGCCACCACGGGGATGCAGCAAACGGTCGTACATGCGAAAAACGATCCCAAGTCCCTTTTTTCACTGCCGTCGTAACTTCACACCCAGGGTCACTAAAATAAACAATTGTAAGCCCAGCATTGCCTGTACATAATATACTTACGGTCGTAACCCGAGGACTGCCCTTCGAAGGAAAGCCATCCATGATCTGATTGGATGTGCTTGAAAAAAGACCCACCTGAAGTCTTTTGAGTATTGTAGGACTTGGAAAAAAAATGGTATGATTGGATTGAACTGAGATAGATGGATGATGAAAGAATTAATGATCAGCAACATAAAGATTAAATGTTTACATTTGCAAAATTGTATATATTTGTAAATAATGCACAAAATAGAAGTATAGAGATGACTGCCACAAACTGTCCATTTCAAGATATCTACACTTTTTTTTTTTTAAAGATATAAAAGATTAATAAAGTTTACTTTAAAAAAAAAAGACACACCTGGAATAGTTTTCCTGAGCAAACTACTCTCTGATTACTACTAGTTTTTATCATTATTATTATCATCTCAAGTTCTAACTATTTATGGCTGGGGGTTTTAAGTGCTGGCCAGGCCTCTCTCTGTGTTTCTCCTCCTGGCTTCCTCTTTCGCAAGTCTTGCTGATGTCGTGTTTTCCGGCCGCAGTTGGGTAAGAAGGGCTTGTGTCCAGGTGTTATGTTGCTGTTATCACCCCAGGCTTTGTGGTATGCATTAAATGAGGAAGAGGAGGAGATCTGAAGAACAGGGAGAGGGTGACTCACTGACAGCTTCCATACCAGTAATCAAGAGTTTCTTCGAACATAAATCTCTGACTCCCAGTTTTTATCAGTTAAAAGTTTTGTTGATATGTTACTTAACCTCCTGTGCATCGTGCTAAGCCTTTAATTTTTTTTTAAAAGAAGCACAGTGGTGTACACAGTCACATAGACTCATATGGCTGGAAGGGACCTCAGAGGTTGTCTAGTCCAACCCCTCTATTCAAGGCAGGAACCTTACACCACCCTAGTCAAATTGTCTAGTTTAATGATAAGGACTTAGGGGTGACATGATAGCATCTTCCAATATTTGAGGGGCAGCCACAAAGAAGAGGGGGTCCACCCATTCAGAAATTTCATGACAGTTGAAGACAATTAACCAGTGGAACTACTTGCCACCAGAAGTTGTGGGTATTCTATCACAGGAGGCTTTTAAGAAGTTACTGGACAGACATCTGTCAGAAATGATAAAGGGCAATGATGACTAACCTGCACCCATAATGCAATGCACCCATGCCCCCACCCTGCGTTATAGGGTCTATTGCTTGAGCAGAGGTTACAACGGTACAACAAAGTTGTAAGGGGTTTTTGAGGTCTTCTAGTCCAATCCCCTGCTTTGGGCAGGAAACCCAGGTTAGCAGTGGTGGCTAACCTTTTGGGGCTCCTGTGCCAAAAATTGTGCAAGCGCTTGTATGTGTGTGCTTGTGTGCCAGCACCCAGAAGGAAATGTGCCCCCCCACCCCCTGCGCATGCACACACAATCCCCCCCCTGGCCGCCCCCTTACCTGCACTGCACCTCACAGCTGATTTTAGGCTGATTGGGGGCCTTTTTTGGCCTCCCAGAGCAGGGGTCCCCAACCACCGGTCCGCAGACCGATACCGGTCTGTGGAACAAGTCCTACCGGGCCACTGGCTTGCTGGGCGCCACCATCTTGTTTTGATGAAAAAGTGCTTCTGGTGAGCTTTTCCGGGTAGAAAGCTCACCGGAAGCACTTTTTCATCAAAACAAGATGGCGGCGCCCAGCTGATGTCGGTACCGGGCATAAAAAAGGTTGGGGATACCGGGCCGCGGCGTAAAAAAGGTTGGGGACCACTGTCCCAGAGGCTTGAAAAAAGTCTCTGCAGGCTTTGCAGGCAGAATAATAGGCCCGTTTCATCACTTCCGCTATTACAGGAAGTGACAAAAATGGATCTATTATTCGTCCTGCAAAGCCTGCAGAGGCTTTTTTCAAGCCTCTGGGAGGCCGAAAAAGGCCTCAAACCGGCTGAAAATCAGGCTGTGAGGCACGCGCATGCGCAGTGAGGTAAGTTTGCCTGCAGCCCGCGTGCCGGCACAAATGGCTCTGCGTGCCACCTGTGGCACGTGGGCCATAGGAGGCAAGTTTTTCCACTGATTAATTGTTCTCACTGGTGGAAAATGTTCATAACTCACTTTTTTTCATTGCCGTTGTGACTTCGCATGGTCACCTAAGGAATGGTTGTAATTTGAGGACTTGTGTTTCCTTCTACTTTTGGAGCTGGCGATGCTGAAAACCTTTTAATGAGAGACCTAAAATGGCTTTTGCACTTTTCATAAAGCAATAGTGTGGGAAAAACACAGATGGCCGCCTCGTGGCAAGATAAATGTAATAATAATTAGCCCCTGTGCAGAATGTGAGATGGGATAGTCATTATTCGTCATCCAATGTCCGTCATAAACCCACCTGCAAACCACAACATGCTTGGTTCACACAACATACAACCTGTCAATGAATACTTCAGCTTCAACCATAACAACACAAGAGCACACAATAGATACAAACTCAAAGTAAACCGCACCAAACTTGATTGCAGGAAATACGACTTCAGCAACAGAGTGGTCAATGTCTGGAATACTCTACCCGACTCTGTAGTCTCTTCCCCAAACCCCAAAAACTTTAACCTTAGACTGTCTACCATTGACCTCACCCCTTTCCTGAGAGGTCTGTAGGGGGCGTGCATAAGCGCACCAACGTGCCTACCGTCCCTGTCCTATTGTTTCTCTATTCTTTTATTTTTCTTATATGTACCCATCTCATGTATTCACAACTATGTATACACTTATACTTATTATCTTGTAAACAATTGACAAATCAAATAAATAAAATAAATAAAACATGCAAAGACACAATCTGGAAGTGTCTTGGCCGGGCTGCAAAACCTGAAGATGGCACTAGATGGCAGCATTTTCTTCAGGGTTTTTCAGCTGGTAACAATCTAATGCAGTTTTTCAAAACTTGGCCGCCTAAAGATGTGTAGACTTCAACTGCAGAATTCCCCAGTCAGCAGGCTCCCCAATCAAAATGTTGTTTTAAAGTCTTATTTTACCAAACTGTAAGGAAAGAGAATGAGTGGAAATCCTAAGCGAAGCACAAATGTAGCTGCTGTGAAGTCCGCCTATGTTAAAACAGGTTGCCTATGGAATTCTAGGAGTTGAAGTCCGCATATTTTAAAGCATGCTGGCTGGGGAATTCTGGGAATTGATGTTGGTGCATCTTAAATCCTGTTGGCTGGGGAATTCTGGGAGCGGATGTTCTAGCCTCTTGCCTGGAGAATTCTGGGAGTTGAGGTCCATTCCTCTTAAAGTTGCGAAGGTTGAAAAAAAATGTACTGCATCTACATGGAGGGAAGTAAGCAGTGGGGTACCACAAAGTTCTGTCTTAGGCCCAGTATTCAGTATCTTAATAAATGACTTAGATGAGGGAATAGAAGGGGAATTCATCAAATTTGCAGATGACACCAACCTGGCAGGAATAGCCAATACCCCTGAAGACAAATTCAGGATGCAAAAATACCTTGGCAGACTTGAACAATGGGCCCTATCCAACAAAATGAATTTCAATGTGGAGAAAAGCAAAGTTTTACATTTAGGCAGGAAAAATCAAAGGTAAGTACAGAGTAGGCAAAAACCTGGCTCAAAAACAGTAGCTGTGAGAGAGGGACCAGAGGTGGGTATTCAGCAGG